TCCCTACCACCTCCACCAACTTTCAACCCCACCCCCCGATTGCACCACCTCCTCTTCTATAACTTTAAAAAGAAATCATCATCATCATTGCCTTTTTCACCGCCTGGATCAGGACATAGCCCACGAACAAACACTTTCCACTTTCCCTATCCTAGGCTAGGGGCTTGATGTCACTCCATGTCTTCCCACTTTTCTGTACATTCATTTCCATGACTCTTCTCCAGGTTCCGTGACGTGGTCTTCCCCTTGATCTTTTATAGTTGTGGGTTCCAATCTAACACTTCCTAATTGTTATGCAGCTACTTGACTTCCTGAGAGTGTCCATTAATCCATCGCCAACACCTTCTTCCCACCTCATCTCTGACTCAGTTCTGTCTCGTTCTTCTTAATACGTCCTCGTTGGTACGTGATCCTAGTAACTTCTTTTTAGACACTTGTTCAAGAAAAAGTGAATCCTATTTATTGTTGAAGTCTGAGGTGCGTTCCATGTCTCACATCAATACAACAATTAGACTGTCTTCACCTTTGAGTTCAAAATCCTCAGCTTTGTTCGTAGTGAGATTTCCATGGTCCCCAAATCTTATTCATGGCTATTAATGCAGTCTGTGTCTTTCCGATGCGGGACTTCATTTCAGAACCTGTTCCTCCCTCGCCTGTCAATTATACTCCCAAGATAAGCATAGAAAGATCCGACGTCTGCTAGTGTATTTCCCTCTATTGTGACCTGCTCCTTTCGTAAAGCATCTATCCTTAGGACTTTTGACTTTCCGGGGTGGATCGAACCATAAAATTTCAGTAGTTTTACCGATGTCCTTGAACGATATCTAACTTTACCATCGAACGACATTGAGAAAAATAGCTGGAAAAAGTTGTCAGCCAAACAGGAAGCGAGAGCTCTGACTGAGAGAGGATAAAAATCTGGATGCCGGACCATAATACACTCACTAGGCCTGGCCAACCAAACTAAAAGGCTTGCTGAGTGGTAGATCGAGTGTTTTTTTCCCCTTTTTTTCTTTTAGTTGCACGGTGGCAGAAGAGTGTAGGACTATCTTAGTCAGTTGATCGAGAATGACGTGCGTACTGAATTGACATATATTTTGTTTCTCTGTCGTATGCATCAGGGAGACTTGAATTTCAAGCTACCTCGAGCGCGAGGCATCATCACTCCTCGGAAAATCATACACACCAACTCTCGAGCAAGACGGAAGGACATTACACTTAGATCTAGAAAATCTAGATCTAAATCATCTAATTATATTTTGTTGCCTGCTCAAGGCCAAGGCCAGTAAATCAAGAAGACCTACCACTTACAACGAACTTCATGTTCTTATAGTAGACCTGACTTCCAGTTGGTTGTAACTTTCTTGGGGGAGATTCTGCAAGACTTCCAACACTCCACAGTCACCAGTTAACATGTCATACCCTGGTAAGTAATCGTTCTTCTCCATGATGTCAAAGAATTAAAGGATTAGGCCTACTTGTGCATGTGTGCATTCTCTCCCTTCTACTAGATCTAGTTTTGATCTTGCCTAGACTAGACTAGAAAGTGTGGTGATCTTGTAGACTTTCCGTTTGTTAAAGTCCAAAAGTCCACGTTCCATTCGTTTACATCCAGAGAAGAAATCCAGAAGTCTTGATGACCAAAAAGGTAACACAAAGAACAGGGATGCAACTTAACCACAAAATATCAAATTATGGTAAAATTCAGCCCCCCCATGTGTGTACTCACAGTAATGTGTATCTGTATACTCAAAACTATGTATCTGTATGTTCTCAAAGCTATGTGTTTCTGTGTGTACTCAGAACGATATGCATCTATGTACTCAAAACAATGTGTTTCTGTGACTGTACTCACAGATTACCAGTACTCCTCGTACAGTGGCTCAGCCCAGGCATACAGCGGTCCACAGTACGCCCCGCCAGACAGCGGCCAGTACGCGCCTCCAGACGCCAGTCAGTACGCACCGCCGGACAGCCAGTACGCTCCGCCGGACAGCCAGTATGCGCCACCGGAGGCTCACAGCAATCAGTACTTGCCACCGGACGGCCAGTACGGGCCCCCGGAGACTCACAGCGGCCAGTACACCGAGGCGGTCACCAGCCACCCTCAGTACGACTACAGCTACTCGCAGCCGGACCAGTACACGCAGACTATCGGTGAGTACGGTACAGTTGAGTCAATGATTCAGGCGTGAAATACGAAATGGGAGATGTGCTGATTAAATGAGTTACTTGGCCGGACCAGTACTTGCAGCCTATCGGTGAGTACAGTACAGGGAGTCGATGATTCAGTTGTGAAATATGAAATGGCAGGTGGGCTGACAAAATGAGTTACTTGGCAGGACCAGTACACACAGAGCCTATCGGTGAGTACAGCTGAGTCGATGATTCAGGCGTGAAATACGAAATGGGAGGTGTGCTGACAAAATGAGTTCGTTACTTGGTTCTCCCAGTTATGGAATTGGCCCTTTTTTTTATCCGCCACAGCATCCCATGTTTCGGTAGCTCTCTGCAGGTAGCTGGAGGGTGTCACTGCTAAAGAAGTCTTATAATTTCTTTTCCTTCTGTCTGTTGCTTCTATCTCATGTGTGTAGGTTGTTGAGGGGTGTCACTGCTAGAGATGCTATTTCCTTTCTTTCTGTCTGTTGTGTCTGTCTGTTTGTCCAGCTTATTCTATTCCTTGCAGAAATAACCCACCATTTTATATGGATGTGATTCTCTTTACTCTGTATAAGTGGGTGGGTGGCTGGCAGGTGCTCCAATGTGGTTCGTTCCTGTTTTCCTATAAAACAGCTATCATATCGCTCTTCTTGTCCTTTCTTTCCTTCTTTTCTTTTTATGTTACTCTCTCTTGTAACAGCTTCAATCTTCAACAGATATCTGACCTGGTCGTGTTGCAAGTGCCATAAAATTCTTTCTAAAACTAAAAGTAAATGCCCTACCTCTATATCCTGACCCTACATTATTATATATATGTCCTACCTCTGTGTCCTGACATGAAATGTCCATTGTCATCATGCCCTACTTCTATGTCTTGACGTTACATTATTATATGGTCGCTTTTAAGGACAAGCGGGCTAACCCAGATTTCGAGGGTTGCCAGAAATCTTGACCTACACCAAAAGTGGGTGTGTGTATTGGTTTGGTTATAGAGAAAACTCTCTTTGTATCTTAAAGAAACTGAACAAGGGTCCAAAAACTTTACCTTCGATTTTCTCAAAACAGCGTTTTTCGGGATAGCCCCCTTGTGCTTAAAAGCGACCATATGTCCTACTTCTGTGTCCTGACCCCACCACTGTTCCCCATGCCCAGGTTCGGCAGCCCCTGTCTACAACACCGCCAGCTCTGGCTACCTGGAGACTCCTGCGGTGGTCAGTGCCTACACCAGCACGCCCGCGGGCTACGCTGACCGCACGGCTTCGGCCTACAGCCAGCCCCCCGCCCCCCCAGTGTATGACCCACCACCCCCCTCCGCCCCTGCCCCCGTCACCCAGGCCTACCAGAGCCATGCGGCCCCGTACTCGGCAGACCCGCAGAAACCACCGGCCGGTTCGTACGACGCGGGCTACAGCTACCAGAGTGAGGCGTACGGCACGTCCCAGTCCTCGTACACTCAGGACACGTCTACGTATGCTCAAGGTTACGACCAGAGCAGCTCGAGCGCATCCTACCCGGCCTATCAGAGCAAAGCCAGCTATTCTGCCGCCCCGGCGGGAGGTGGGGTTGGGACTTGGGCGTCTGTGAGTGAGTATCCCGCCCCACCCGCCGAGCCCCCCGCGGCTATTTATAGCGACCAGCAGACGTACTCGCACGACTACTACGCCTCGGGTGGAGGTGATGGCCAGGGCTATGCTCAGAAGACGGAGTATCAGCGGCCAACGTGGCAGGCCGCACCCCCTGTGGTAGATTCGGGCGGCTACGGGAAGGAGTTTGGCGGTTATTCCGGCCCAGCCACGCGGAGGGGAGGGGGCGGCGGGGGCTACACGGAGGGGCAACAGAGGTCACAGTTCAAGGTCACAGGATCAGGAGTGGGCGGAGGTCAAGGGTATGGAGGTTATAGCGGGTCCGGCAGTGGCCAAAGTGGCAATAGTAAGGGCGCAGAGGTGCAGAGAGACGGTGGATATAGGAATGGGGAGGGCGGCCGCTCGATGGGGGGAGGTGGCGGGTCGGATTTCTTCAGGGGGGGCAGAGGAGGGAGGGGAGCGGGTCGAGGAGGTAATGAAGGAGTTGGGGGGCAGAGAGGGGGTCGGGGAGGTAGGACGTATGGTGGTAGTTCGTACGGTGGCCGTGCAGAGGCTGGCTATGGCGGTGGCTCGGATACGAGGTTCAGGAGTGAGGGGTCTAGTCAGTCGTCTCATGGCGACTCTTTTGGAGGAGGGAATAGAGGCGGTGCAGGGGGCTACAGACAGCCAGGTGGCAGGGGGGGCTACGCCGGGGCTCAGGGGGGCTACAGCAAGGCTCCCGGCGCGAAAGGTGGGTCCAGCGATGGCAAGGGGTTCGGTGGGAGGGGAGGATTCGGTTCCTCCGAGTTTAGAGGTGCTGGGTACGGCAGTGGTAGAGGTGGCCGGGATGGGCCTCCTGAGCTCGGGGGTCAGAGGGGAGGAGGCAGAGGTCGTGACGTGAGGCAGGAGTATGGAGGGGGAGGTAACTCTGGTGGGTGGGTGGGCAGGCGCGGTGGCCAGGATTCAGGGCCCCACGAGGCAGCCTACTCCACCAATATCTCCTCAAGGGGCATGGCTCGTGGGCGAGGGGGCGGGGCTAATGCGTCGCCGAGAGGGGGCGGGGCCAACATGTCGTCGAGAGGGGGCGGTGCTAACGCAACATCGAGAGGGGGCGGGGCTAACGCAACATCGAGAGGGGGCGGTGCCAACAAGTTTGGCGGTCAAGGGTCGGGGTTCGATGCTAGGGACAAGATTCGGCCCAAGCAGGAAACTGGTGGCTCTGTGTTTGGCCGGCTGGGTACCGAGGAGGAGAGGAAGGCGAGGGGAGGGGCAAACGCGACAGCGGCAGCAGCAGTGAAAGCTCCGTCACGGCCACAGGATCGGCTGTTGAACGAGGTGGAGGTCAAGCCCAAGGTGGAGAGGAAGAAGACGGAGGCGGAGCTGAAGAAAGAGGAGGAGGAGAGGAAGAAAGCGGAAGAGGAAAAAAAGAAGAAGGAGGAGGAGGAACGGAAGTCCGCGGAGGAGGCGGTGAAGCAGGCGTCGGAGGAGTTGAGGAGGAAGGCTGCGGAAGAGGCGGTGAAAGCTGCGCCGCCCTCAAAACCGCCGCAAACCCCTGAGGAGGTGGCACGGGAGGAGGAGATACAGCAGAAAATCCGGGAGTCCATCGTGATCATCAACCCGGAGCACGAGGTCAAGGTCGCAACCCAGGACCCCAGCAAGGACCTGGAGATGTCGCAGGAGTTGCGGGACCTGCTCAAGACCATCACGGGCGACTACGTCTGCCGCCTGTGCAGTGTGCGGATCGTGGGTCCCCACATGGCAGCCATGCACTACAATGGCAAGAATCACATGAAGAAGCTACGCAACTTTGTGCAGACCAATGGGCGCTCGGCCGGCTACAACCTGGCCACAACCGCAGACGGCGCAGCAGAGTCAGGAGGGAAGGAGGAGGAAAAGAAAAAGAAGGCGGAGGGAGAGAACGGAGAGAAAGAGACAACGCAAGTTGTGGATGCGACGGTAATTCACAGCGCTGCCTCACGGAGGCCATCAGGTCAGGGTTGAAAGGTCATTGTATCGGTCAGTTTATTTATCGGGTCAGTCGTTGACTTGGATCAGTCAATTTGCAAAGTCAGGCGATTATTTAAGCCAGTCACGAGTCAACCAATGACTTAGATCAATCAATTTGGTGAGTCAGCCGATGACTTGAATCAGCCAAAGGTCAGCTTATGACTTCGATCAGCCACAGATTACCTAATGACTTTGATCTGTCATGAGTCAGCCGATGACTTAGATTTGTCTTGAGACAGCTAATGATTTAGATCTGTCATGAGTCAGCCGATGACTTACATCAGTCACAGGTCAGCTAATGACTTCTTATATCAGTCATAGGTTACCTTATGACTTTTATATCAGTCATGAGTCAGCCGATGACTTAGATCAGTCAGTCTATTCACCAACCCTGGTGTAGTTATCTCAATTGACAGCTCTCCCAAAGGGATAAAACAGTTCTGTTATGGTCAGTTTGCTAAATGTGACCAGCTCAACTTAGATAGCTCTTTAAATCAGACACTCACAAAATTAGGAAATCAGACAAACAAGTCAGCTCAGGGCGTGTGTGGAGTGGGAACTAGTTTATGGGAGCTTGAACATGACGACAGCCGAGCGTGTTTCAACGCATGGCACTCTGACCAGAGACCCCGGATATACGTAGGCTATTGATTGTGATTTTGCTGCTACTTGGCAGAATAGAAATGACCTTTCAACTCTGACTTATTAGGTAAACCCATCATTAAATGAGATTCAATCGTTAAGGGAAACGAGAAATTCCCCAAAACCGAGTCTCTCGATGCTGAAGACAAAAAAATTGCTGACCAATGAAATCCAGCGTGGGTGTTGTTTTATTGTAAAAAATTGTACATGTGCATGCTAGAATGTGAAAGAGAAATTTCACATCCGGAAAAGAAAAAGAAATGTAAATTTTCTCCCAATCTCTCTTGGAGAAAGCTTACTACTACAGTTTCAGTTTCTGTCTCAACAACGGAAGCCTCGTTTTTGTTTAGTCAAACAAACGTTTCATTCGTATGTTTCATAAATGGGCAGTACTAATTTTGTATGGTTTAACTCTTTCTGGACGTATTGCAGACGTATCAGTAACTTTGGGGGTGGGGTGGGGGGTCACGTATAGGAATATCGCCAATATGACCTGGGTTTTTGGGGGGGGGTTTTTTGTTTTTGTTTTTTTCTTCATTTCTTAGTGTAACACTCCGCAAAATACGGCATTTTGAAAAGTGAGATATGTGTCACAAAGTGGTGGAATCAGGCGCTCGTCAATTTTTGGCCATATGGAGTTATTGGTACCATCGTAAAGCTTGTTCATTTGTCTGTCTTTTGATGAAAAAAATTCGCGTCTATCTTGAATAGAAGTCGAGATATTTTGGATTGAAGGAGGTTGGGGTCGTTTGGTTTCAGAGGCAAAATTAATGAGAAAATGGCCACCAAAGTTTAGTGATTTCCAAAGCTTGAGAGCTTTTGGAAACTGTAAATTTACAATTTGCATGCCTTTAATAAACTCTTTTCAATAAAATCCACTCAGCAATGTGTTTTTAAATGGACATACAAGGTTTTCAGCCAAAAATTCAATAAGAATTGCCAAATAGATTGAAATAGGCTGGTCTCTTCAATTTCATAATTTTGACAAGCGCCTGATTTCACCACGATGCCTCACTTATGACGGAATCTTGCGCTCATATGTCGATTTTTGCATTGTATTGTATTGTTTTTGTAACATCGATGAATACCAAAAATGCGAGAGGAAAGTTTCTGAAACAAAATTTGGCTTTATAAAACATTTTGCTCTTACTGATTTGCGGGGATACAAATAAGATATGTCCAAATGGTTTCAATTGCAGCGAAAAATTACGTCCTGGATGAGTTAGACATGTAACATACACATACAGTCTGCCTTTGGTATCCTGACAGCAAAAATTGATCTAGAGAGTATGTGTTCCACATTGACCAGTGGATCAAAAAATTCTCGGCGAGAAAAGGGAAAGTTTTTGGAATCTCATTTGATGACCTTGTGATATGTTCTATTTGTGGTCCCGCCATTCACTGCTTGATTTCATCTCTGGATTTGCGGTCCTCATCTCCGACCCCCGACCCCCGACCCACCCCTGGGCTCCTCATCCCCCATCCCCAGGGGCAGGTCAGTTGCATCATTCTGTACAAAGAAAGATAGTCTAGCACGCATGGTAGCGAAATCAACGGATGCAGAAATTTTTCATAATATGTACGAGTTTCACTATGTCACAATGTACGACGTGTTTGAAATCCAAAGGATACACGTGTTTATGAAAGAATTTAGGGCCTGAGAATTTTTTCGCTCTCTGTACTTTCGCTATATATACATATTTATCTATGTGCTGGCGCTCGTATGACCTTTTGCAGTTGTGAGCGCCGTAAAACCTCTACTAAAACTTTGGCTATCTATGTGCGTGCTAGACTAACTTGTCTTGTTTGGGAGGGGGGTCTGGTTCACTGACAGATATTCTGCTCTATGTAGCTAGCTCATGATACTGCTGCCACTCATTCTGTTCACCAAAGTAGCTGTCTTATCTTAGAGGCTTTTCCATTTTCTTTGTGTCTGTAGTTTGTTTTTTTGTTGTTGTTTTTTTACCCCTGCCTTTTTTCTATCAGGTGACGCTTTAGTTAGGGTTAGGCAAACAAAACAGAATGTTTAACCCTATCCGTACACCCTGGTGTCATTTTTTTACCCCCGGGGTTGTATTCTTCACATTTTAGAATACTTCTAGTACGAAGATAAAACTTTCAGTATTTCTCAAAAAATCATTTTGACAGACTGTTATGCAAAGCGTATGGATCCGATTAACGAGTAAATTTCCTCTTAGGAAAGTGGTCACACAGAGTTCCCCGCGTCATATGGTATGGATACGAGAGTAAAACACGACGTAGGGATAGGGTTAAATGATAGAAGAAATAGAGAGAACACTGAGTTTGTTAGTGTTTATTTATTATTGTTGCTGAAGCAGTTTACTGTTACATCGATATCTTAGTGGGGGTCAAAGTTCACTGATTTTTCCAGAAAAGTAACTTGTCTAGTGTAGGAGGGTGTTCACTTTAACTTTAAGGTTCACTGGTGACTGCTTCGTTTTGTGTTCCCGTTGCTATCGTTTTGTGCACCTAAGCAGCCTTCTCTCCGACAAGTCTGGAAGGTTGCAGAATTCTCAGAAAGTTTAGATAAGGAGTGGGGGGAGGTCGTATCTAGATCTATATAGCGAAGAGAAGGGATTTGATAGTTGTGGGAAAAAACGTGACAATGTATACAGTTGTATGTTTCGTTAGTAGAAATAGTTTCTTTATTTAAACTCTTGTTAGGAAAACTTCCTTGCTATTGATACTCTTTGTGGTTTGGTCCAAAGTGTTGTTTTTGTTACTTTATATTGTTGGCAACGGTCTATAAAGTAAGTGGCTTTTTTTTTCTCTTTTTTTTTTTAGTTCGTTTTGAGTTGGTTTACAGAAGTGTTCTTGGTCTCAGGGTCGTGGTGTTTGCAAAGAATAATATCTATCCACCCTAAGCAGATGTTGGAGGACGAATGTCACTTGTCGCTAGTTTTTCTTGCCGCAGGGACAATACATATTTTAATTGTGTGGAAGTTTAGAACGTTTTTCATCTCAGTTGGTTTTTATTTTTAAATTATGTTTCTGTTTGTTTTTTGTTTTGTTTTTTGTTTTGTTTTTGTTTTTTTTAGGGGAAGGGGTCTTTAGCTGAAAGCAAGGCACAGAAATGATCAAAATCTACTTTTGTCATTTTGTTAAGTTAATGGTGGGGAAAATTTTCTGGAGTGGTCCCATTCTCCTGTTGTTTTCTGCCCCAGTGTCCTATTTGGCTAGCCAGTCTGGCAATATCCCTTGCACTCACAGATTATCCTTTTTACAGAAATAAAAACAAAACTGTTTTTTCTGTCAGTTATGTATTGTTTTTATTGTTGTTTTGGAAAGAGCAAGAAAGAACATGGTGTCCAGTATAGGGTGACTTTATAAGAAAATCCTATATAGGGTGACTTTATAATGGATTCCTATGTAGGGTGACATTAGAACAGACTCAGAGCCCTGCATAGGGTGACTTTAGAAAAAAAATCCTATGTAGGGTGACTTTATAATGGAGCCCTATATAGGATGACATTGTAACAGAGCCCTTCACAGGGTGACTTTATATGAAAATCCTTTGTAGGGTGACTTTATAATGGAGTCCTATATAGGGTGACATTGTAACAGAGCCCTTCATAGGGTGACTTTACAAGAAAATCAAATGTAAGGTGACTTTATAATGGAGTCCTATATAGGGTGACTTTATTTTTTTTTTTAATCCAATATAGGGTGACTTTGTAGTGGGTTTTTTTGTTGTTCGATTAAATACAGGCCTAGTATTTTCAAATGTCACATTGCAAATTCAAAAGTCATGTAGTAACCTCAAATATAAATTATGATTCATAAAGACGTTCTTTGTCTTTTTGAATTTATTGAATAATTTTTTAATACTGTACTTGTATTATGCCAACGTGGCAAACTTTCAATAGTCTGGATCTCTAGATTGTCCCTCAGTTTGTCTTTCAACATGAGCTTCAATATATGTTGTCCTTGTGAAAGAAGCGTTAAGAGATCAGACAGAGATAGGGAATATTAAAATTTGAAGTTTGGATGCTCGTATGACCTTATGCAGTTGCGAGCACCATAAAACTTCTACTCAAAAAAAAAAGTTTGGATGTGATTTTTGAATTTTTAAACGGTGTCATGTTTTAAACTGAAAATCGCATGCCACCTGTCCGTTTGAAGTTACAATGTGGCATTTTATTTCACAAAATGACATTTCAAATTACCAGACGTCTAACTAATAGAAAGAAATCTATAACAAAGTCCTTCACTGGGTGATTTTATGTGAGAACCCTATATAGGGTGACATTATAACCGTCCTTTAAAGAGTAATTTTGAGAATTCTA